CCCCCGAGGGCGGCGGCTACCCCGACCCGAAACCCGCACGGCCTCCACGGCCACAGCGGGAAGCCGCTGGGGGGGCACAGACACAGGCCGCGGCCCGGGACCACAGCCTCGGCCCCGACGGCCCTGCCGCCACCCCGCCGGAGGGGCGGGCGCCCCCGACCGCGTCCGCAGCCGGCCCCCGGCCCGCCGGCGCCGCACCCACCCGGGAAACGGAGCAGCTCCGCGCGGTGGCCCGCGGCGCACAGCGCGGCCACGAGCTTGCGGCTCTGCGTGCTCTTGCCGGCGCGGTCCACGCCCTCCAGCACGATGAGGGCCCCGCGCCGGCCGGCCATGCTCGCGCTTCCCCGCCGCCCGCCGCCGCCGCCGCCGCCGCCGCGCGCCCCGGCGCCGCTCGGAGCTCCCATTGGCGGGCGTCCGCGGCGCGCGCCGGGATTGGCTGAAATGGGGCCGCCACAGCCGCGCGCTCCGGAATTGACGACGGGGGGCCGCACGTTGGGATTGGCTGCTGTTTTCCGGCCTTGCGCGGACCGGCTGGTATCGGCCCGGGGGCGGGGCGAAGGCGGCAACGGTCGCCCCGCCCCTTCCGGCGGGCGGAGTCACCGCCTTCCGGGCCGGGAGAGCTGGTGGCGGGGACTGTGGGCCGCGGGCGGGGAGGCCGAGGGGCGGCGCGGGGCCGTGCGCACGCTGGCGGCTCGGCGGTGCCGGGAAGGCCGCGTCGCCGCCGCCGTCGCAGTGCTGGGGCCGACCGTCAGGGGCGGCCGTGCCGACTCCCGGGCCCGACTGCTCCGACGGGGGTCAGCGTCCCGTCGGGAGGCGCTGGCTCCCAGGGGCTGTTACTATCTCAGGGGCGCCCGGGCCGCCTGGCGTGTTTCGGGTGAGACCGTGCGCCCCTGGAGCGGCCGCCCCGCCGCCCCAGGGCCCATCCCCCGGTGCCATGGGGGAGGCGGGCAGCGCCTGAACCTGCGGGGCTTGCGACGGCACACTCGGGTCCGGACGAGCCCGGAGCCCCGTCCCCCAGAGCGCCCCCGTAGCCTGGGCGGAGTTTGCGGGGGGCAGGCCCTCGAACGAGGTTGGAGGCCGGCGCAGCTGGAGTTGTGGTGGGCTGCCCCCTCGTGAGCTCTCTGGAGCGCCCGCCGACGCTTGCAGGGTGGGCAGCGGCCGCCGCCTCCCGGGGCCCTGGACAGCACGCTCCGCGATCTCCCCGCCCTTTCCTCCTCCAGTTCTCGTGTTTGCACGGGTCCCTGGGAACGTGGCTCCCTAAGGGAGCGAGCTGCAGTGGCTTTGAGTCCCCCCAACCGACCTTTGCCTGATGTGGCCTTGGGTTCTGGAGGAGTGATAAGATTATATTCGCCTCCTTCCTTGATGTTGACCTTGGCTGTGCGACTCCCAGATGCTGTGCTCATCACAGCTGACTTGCGCGCTTTGAGGGGGAAGAAAGCTTTGAAAGCCGTGTTGTGTGCTCGCCCATCGCCTCCCCCGCCACGTGAGAAGAGCATATACACAATTAGGGCTGCGTTTTCATCCTGGATCTCCAGTGAAGGAAATACAACCAGGGCCAGGCTGCAACCACCGCGACTGATAGGTAGCCCGGCAAGAAGTAAGCCACCGGCATTCCAAGCTGCTCCCGGAGGCTCTGGGACCCCCTGTTACTGCAGCATGACCTAGGGAAGGCTCACTGATACAAAGGCTAGTGCTTAATGTTGTCATAGGTAGGGAGGCAGTAGCCCTTGGTTCGATGTCTCCTGTTCTAAAATGTCCACCTCCTGAGCCTTCGAAGGATGGAAGAATTAGAATGGAGAAGAGAACCTCCCCAGGGTTCGGCAAGTGCCAGCACAGCCTGGCAGACATCTTTAGGATGAACCCACCCGGGAACGGGGAAAACATGTAATGTGGTGCTTCAGCTTGTGAATGCACGGCCTTCCTGGCTGCCTGTAAAAATGCAGGAACCTGGCTGTTGGAGCCTTGTATGCAGGGTGGTGGTGGAGTGCCCTTTTGATCCCAGCAGCTGCTCAGCTAGCACAAGTTCGGTGATGTTTGTCATCAGGGTACAACAAGCAGTTTGCTTCTCGGTCGTCCAACATGTCCTGCCTCTTACATCAGAATGACACTAACTGCAGGTACCAGAATACCAACCTAACTGGCTTACATCATCAGGATATTTCGTTATCACACATAACTCGAAGTCCAGAGTTAGGCAGCCAGGAACTGCCCCCGCTGACTGGTGATGGCAAAGGTCAGGTCCACATTTTAGCAGTTCTAGCTTTTCCTTCATGGTCACAGGGTGACTTCAGCCTCTCCGCGCACCCAGTGCTGATCTCACGGCCCCGCCATGGGCAGAGGAGCACCCTTGCATCTGGACATTCAGCCTCCTTTCTGCTCTGCTGCATGGACAGTTTAGGTCTCAGGCCTGTCAGCACGGTCCGCCCTGGAGCAGTGCAAGCAGGATCTCTTCACAGCACCATAGAAGCCTTCTCAGATGGGCACAAGGACGTCCGCTTGGTGGAGGAAATAACAGGGTTCTGGGTCTAAGTGGGCTTGGAGACAGAGGGGACATCAAATGGGTTGTCAGGTGCTAATTGCCAAAGCTGGCTGATGAGCACACGGGGCTCATTAGGGCCTCCCGACTCTTAATGTGTTTGGGATTGTCCATTAAAAAAATAAAAAAGGGACGCCTGGGTGGCTCAGATGGTTAAGCGTCTGCCTTCGGCTCAGGTCATGATCCCAGGGTCCTGGGATGGAGCCCGACATTGGGCTCCTTGCTCAGCCGGGAGCCCGCTTCTCCCTCTGCCTGCTGCTACGCTTTCTCTGACAAATAAATAAATTAAAAAAAAAAAAAAAAAAGACTCTAAAACCCTTTTACTGTTCCCTGTTCCTCAAGTGTGTTGTACCTCCCGCCTCACAGGATTGTGTCAGCAAAGTCCTCCTGACTCTGTTAGCCAGGCTGCCATACCAAGACACCACAGACCGCGGGACTCCAATGGCACCAGTCTTCCCACTGTACAGGTGTAGAGAGAAGTCTCTGGTGTCTCTTCTTCCTCTTAATTCCCTCTCCAAAGAACGTCACATTGGGGGTTAGGGTGCAACCTATGAGCTTGGGGGAATATTCAGTCCATAGCACTCACCTGCTTCCACATGAGTCTGCTGGGCACATGAGCGCCCTACTAGACCCTGGCACCTAGAGGTGGCGATGCAGCCCAGCGCCAACGAAATGTGAGTAGACCCCATGTGTGTTCCTTCAGACAGCAGACCGTGCTCTCCCTTTACCCGTGGCTTCCCCTTATTGCAACCTGGCCGTGACTGTGCTGATGAAGGCAAAATGCCCTGGGGGCATAGAACATGCTGGAAGGAATCTGGGCCCCTGAGTGACCCCGTGGAGCATGGCTGCCATCCCCCGGACTAACCATGTTGGGACTGTTGCACAAGAAATAAAATTCTTTCTTTTCTAAGCCACTGGATTTTGGTTGGGTTTCTTTACATTATACTAGCTTAGCCTTCCCCTAAAGCACTGCTCAGTTAGTGGACATTTTGATTGTCATAATTTGGGAGGTGCTAACTGCATCTACTGAGTAGAAGCCAGGGATGCTGTTAAGCATCCTACAAGGCACAGGACAACCCTATCCCCCCGCCCCGCCCCAGGAAAGAGTTTCCTGGCCCAAAATATCAAGTCCTGAGGTTGAGAAACCCTGCCTTTTTTTTTTTTTTTAAGATTTTATTTATTTATTTATTTGATAGAGCACGAGCCAGGTAAGGGTCAGAGGGAAAAGCGGGCTCCCTGCACATGGGGCTCGATCCCAGGACCTGAGCTGAAGGCAGACACTTAACCGATTGAGCCCCCCAGGCGCCTCAGAAACCCTGCTCTTCACATTGCAATAAAAGGAATCCTCTCTGGTCATTTCTAGAACAGGGTCTTCCTAAGAGAATTCATCAGTTTTCTTATGTGAATGAAAGACAAACTGCTATCTGGAAGAAGTTATTCTCAATATCTGATATATGAAGGGCTATTAGCCTTAACTTTTTTTTTTTTTCTTTAAAGATTTTGTCAGAAGAGAGAGGGAGCACGTACCAGTGCATAAGCAGGGGGAGCTTAAGCAGACTCCCCACAGAGCAGGAAGCCCGATGTGGGGCTCGATCCCAGGACCCTGGGATCATGACCCAAGCCGAAGGCAGCCACTTAACTAAGCCACCCAGGTGCTCCTTAACTTTTTTTTTAATTTAAATTAGCCAACATACAGTGATCATTAGTTTTAGATGTAGTGTTTAATGATTTCATCAGTTGCGTATAACACCCAGTGCGTATCACATCAAATGCCCTCAATACCCATCACCCAATTACCCCATCCCCCACACCCCTCCCTTCTGCAACCCCCAGTTTGTTTCCCAGAGTCACGAGTCTCACATGGTTTGTCTCCCTCTCTGATTTCTAATTTTTTTTTTTTTTAGATGAAGTCATGAAGATCAGTTTTCTCATAGATAATGGGTAAAGGACATAAAATGATAGAATTGCAAATAGCCCGTGGATATAGAAAAATATGTTTAGCCTCACTTAAAATCAAAGAAATACAAATCAAAACACAGGTTGGTTTTTTGGTTATTTCTTTTTTCTATCAAGTTAGTAAAGATAAAAAGCCTGACAAAATCTAGGGTTGACAAAGTGTAAAAACATACTTAGTGAAGTGTCAGTTGGTATAATTTTTTCCTTGGGCAATTCATTTAAAAGTATCAGCCCTTAGAACATGCAATACTTTTTGAGCTGGCAATTCCATTTTTTTTTTTTTTTTAGAGGGAGAGGAGCAGGGAGGGGCAGAGGGAGAGGGGGAGAGAGAGAGAGAGAGAGAGAGAGAGAAGCAGACTCCCTGCTGAGGAGGGAGCCCAACACAGGGCCCAATCCCAGGATCCGGAGATCATGACCCAAGCCAAAGACAGATGCTTAACTGAGCCACCCAGGTGCCCCAGCAATTCCACTTCTAAGAATTTATCCCAAAGAACTAATAGGACGGGCGCCTGGGTGGCTCAGTTGGTTAAGCGACTGCCTTCGGCTCAGGTCATGATTCTGGAGTCCCGGGATCGAGTCCCACATCGGGCTCCCCGCTCAGCAGGGAGTCTGCTTCTCCCTCTGACCCTCTTCCCTCTCGTGCTCTCTCTTTCTCTCTCTCTCAAATGAATAAATAAAATCTTAAAAAAAAAAAAAAAGAACTAATAGGACAAGGTGTAAATTAGAGACGGCCTCAACCCTTGCTACTCCTCCCATTGAGAGGTGGGTCTAATTCCCCTCCCCTCAAATCTGGTTGTCCCCAACAACTTGTTTGACCAATAAAATGTAATGAGATGTCTCGGGACTACCCAGGAGAGTTCGCAAGTATTGCAGCTTCTACCGTGGCCTCCTGGAACTCTCTGGAAACCCTGCATGGCCATGAAGAGTACCACTCCCTGGGACTGTTGTGCTGGAGAGGCCCCATGGAGGCATCCTGATCCATAATGCCAATTAAATGCTACCTTCCAGCCACCCCAGTGACCTCTATAGTATTACATAGAACAGAAGAATCACCTGGCTGAGCTCCGCTGAAATGTGTGACTCAAAAATTCCGAGTGACAATAAAATGGTTCTTTTAAGCAATTGTTTTCAGGTAGCTTATTATGCAGCAATAAATAACTGGAACACACAGATAAGTACAGCCATATGAATAAATGTTCACCAGAGCATTATTTGTGCTAATGAAAACTGGAAACAATCAAAACACTGTACATCTATTGTTAAGGTATGGCACACCAACGCAATGAAATATATCTAGTAAACAGAATGAAGTAGTTTTGAGTAAAAAACATGGTCAGATGTTTGCGAAGAGTGTTAAGTTAAAAATGTAAATAGTAGAAAAGTGGATAGTATGATTCACATAAGAAAACCAAGAGCCCAATTTAAAAAGTGGGCAAAAGTTATGGGGCGCCTGGGTGGTTCAGTTGGTTCAGCATCTGACTCTTGGTTTCAGCTTGGGTTGTGATCTCAGGATCTGGCCCTACATTGGGCTCCACACTCAGTGGGGAGTCTGCTTCCCCTCTGCCCACCCCCCACTTTCTCTCTCTAAATAAAAATAACCTTTTTAAAAAAGTTAAAAAAATAAAAAATGGGCAAAAGTTAGGAACAGACACCTCCCCCAAGAAGATGTACAGATAGCAAGTATACTTGTAAGAAGGTGCTCAATAGGGAATTATGTCATTAGCGAACTGCACATAGCAATGAAATATCTTTACCCACCTATCAGAATGGTCAAAATCCAGAACACTTGACAACACCAAATGCTAGTGAGGATGTGCAGCAACACGAACTCTTTATTCTTTGCTGGTGGAAATGCAAAATGATATGGCCGCTTTGGAAGCCAGTTTGGTGGTTTCCTACAAACCTAGACAATCTTACACTTCTTTGTAGCTTTATTCATAATTGGCAAAACTTGGAAACAACCAAGAAGTCCTTCAATAGGTGAATGGGTTAACTGTGGTCCATCCAGACGACGAACTATTACTCAGCATTAAGAAGAAATGAGCTACCAAGCCACAAAAAAGCATGGAGGAAACTTAAATGCATTTTACTTAGTGCAAGAAGCCAGTCTGAAACGTCTGCATATACTGTGTGATGCCATTCTGGAAAAGGGAAAACTGCAGTAAAAAGATCAGTGTTTGTCAGGGGTGTGGGGAGTGGGGAGAGGGATAAAAAGGTGGAGCACAGGACTTTGGGGGCAGAGAAACTATTCTGCATATTGTAATGTTGAATACATGTCATTATACGTTTGTCAAAACCTATAGAATGTACAACACAGAGTGAACGCTAATGTAAACTATGGACTTTAATAATAATGTATTGATATTCTTTCATCAGTTATAATAAATGTACCACCCTAGTGCAAAGTGTTTGTAATGGGGCTGTGTGTGTGTGTGCGCGCGCGCGCACGTGTTTAGGGGTACACAGGAACTCTATTTTCGTCTCAGTTTTTCCGTAAACTTAAAACTACTCTAAAAAATAGTCTATTTAGTTAAAAAAAACCCACAACATAGCCCCAAAGGTCGGTAGTGTGCAATTACGTACCTGTGCAGGTGTGCATTTTCCCAAGCAGTGAAGGAGGCCAGAAGGGATGCACCCAAACTGCTAACATTCAAATTTCGAAGGTGAACAATAGTCACAGATCTGTATCCTGAGGAGGTGGGGAAACTGTAAGTTCCTGTGTAGTTTGAATTTTCTCAGGGAACGTGAAATTGGCAAAAGCAGTGTTTCCATTTGTTGGACTAGGGCAGGTTTAGGGGAGAGCTCACGAGAGGGACTGTATGTTCAAAGAGCCATCTTTAATAACGACACTGCTACTCCACTGGCCAGGGTGTGCTAGGCAGCGGGAGGACGGCCTTGAACCTCCGGGGCGCAGGCCCTTGTCCCGAGCCCCGCGCTCCACCTGCACGTGCGCCGCCGGCCGCCCCGCCGGGCGCCGGGGATCCGCGCGCGCTCGCGGGACCGCGCTCGTCACACCCCGCCCGCACCTGCTCCCGCCAGAGCAGCTGCCAGGGACGGGGACTGGAGCCCCGGGGCCCCGGCCACGCGGGCAGGCACGTGCACCCAGGAGGTGCGGGGCCCTCGACCCCACCTCCGCGCCCGCGCCCCCCTCCGCGGGGCGCCAGGCCCAGTCCCCGCTCCCGCGCGACGCCGCGCGCACCCCTCCGACCGGAAGCCGGGGGGCATGTCCAGACGGCGCCCCGCCCCAGCCGGCGGACCAATCAGCGCCCGAGGTTCATTAATAGTGAACGCGCCGGCCCCGCCTCCGCCCCTCGCGGCACCGCCCGCCCGCGCAGACCTAGAGCGCGGCCGCGGACGAAGATGGCGACCGCCATGTACTTGGAGCACTACCTGGACAGTAAGCGCCCCTCGCGGCCCTGGGGCCGGGCGCCCGCGCAGGGTCTCCCCACACGGGTCCACCCCGCGGGCACCAGGCGCCGCGCGCGGACCCGGAGGGCTCGTGGGGGCGACAGGAGCCGTCCGGCAGCGGCGGGGGCGGCGGGGGCGCGCTCCGGGCGGGGCGGGGCCGCGAGGAGGTACGCGCGGGGGGCGCGGCGCGGGGTCCCACCGTCACTGCCGCGCCAATTCCAGGTGCGTCACGGGGGGGCGGGGCTGGTGGGCACGGGGCGGGGGCTTGCGTGCCACGGCCCCGCCCTCTCCGGCTGGGCCCCGCCCTCGGCCCTGGCCTCAGCGGCCGCCCCGCCCTCCCCTTCCTCGGCCTCTCCCGGGCAAGGCCCCCCCTCACGGCCCCGCCCCGCCCTTCCCGGCCCCATCCGCCGGCTTGGCCCCGCCCCCGCCCTAGGCCCCGCCCCGGCCCCGCCCCCCACCGCGCAGTCAGGCGCCGAGGTTCGAGCCCCAACCTCGGACGCTGGGCTGGTCCTGGGGGGCTCCGGGTCCGGGATGTGGGGGGGGCTCCGGCCGGGGTTCTGTGCCTGCTCGTGCGGTGACCTGGGAGTTGGCGGAGCCACTCCTGGCGGGGAGAGTCTCCTAGGGTGCCTGTCCTTCCGCGTGGCGTTGGTGGGAGGGGACTGGCAGGGCTGGTTCAGGTGCTGAGGACAGTGATGGTCCCTCGGAAAGACGTCTGGGAGGCTCTTCTGCAGGCGTCCTTCTGTCTACATGTAGCTCAGGTTGGGGCCTCCTGAGAACTTCTGGGAAGATGGGAAAACGCAGGCCTTAGAGGCCAAGTAGCTTGTCAAGGTCATGCACTCCACAGCGGAGAGCCCACGTTTGAGCGCTGCTGATCTGGCTCTGGCTGCGGATGGCCTTGGGGGGCGGCTGGGGGGGGCTGGGCTGGGTGCTCTGGAGCTCTCTGTTGCAGTGGGAATATCCACGGGCATTGGTACCTGCAGCTGCTGACGGTGGGGAGTGAGCCCCTGCCCTGGGGGAGGCGGGGGGGGGGAGTTCAGCCTGAGCCATGAGGGGGGTCCCGGTGAGACAGCACTGAGGAGGGGAGGCCCTTGCCTGCCCTGTCTCTGCTGCGCTGACCTGTCTGCTGGGGAGCACTGTGGCTTGCCCTTCTTGTCCCGGTACCTGCCCAGTGAGCCCTGTGAAGACAGTTTGAGGATTGTGAGTTCCATCCACCTGTGTGCAGGCTCAGAATGGAGGTGCCTGCTTGAGTTTTGAACACCTGCTGCGTGCTAAGCCTCAGTCCTCATTTTCCTGGAACTTACTTTCAAATGGGGCAAGTGGACTTTTTTAAAAGTTCACAGCAGATTAAGGGGCATGAAGGAGCCCAGCAGGCTGTGAGAGACCCGGATGTGAGAGACACTGTCCCGCAGAGCCCAGGATGGGACAGAACAGGGAGGTCCTTGGGGAGGCTGTGGTGAGCCTGGAGGCTGGGGAGGGCATGTGTGCCATTCTCTGGGTGAGCTGGGCAGCTGTAAGCTTGCAGACGGGCTGGATGGCTGGCCTGGAGTAGGAGCAGGGCAGTGCAGTGGGGAAAGCAGTGTGGGCTGGGGTCCTTGACCTGTGCTGGCCGGCACTGTCTGTGTAACTTGAATTAAACTTGAGCAAAGGAAAAGTTCAGTCCCTCAGTCGTGGTAGCCCCATTTCAGGTGCTCAGCAGCCCCGTGGCCAATGGCTGTTGTGTTGTATAGCTCAGGCCGTGTCTCCTTGCATGAAGTCTGCCCCACAGCACTGGCCGGCACCGCCCCGTGCACTGAGTGTCAGAGTACAGAGACCCCAGGGCTTTGGTCTTACCCACTGTGGGGGTCCTGAGAGGGGAGGACTGGCTGGGGGTGTGGGATGGAAGCGTCACAAGGGCCACCTTCCCAGCCTCTGCTTGCAGCTGGAGGGTAAGTCCCCCTCTAACTTTTCCAGCTTCCAACACCGTCTGAAGCCTGTCTCCCCCAAAGACGTACCTTAATCCTTCTGTTCCTCAAATCCTAACGGAAACAGAAAATGAAGGGCGCTTATTCTTTGTAGACCTTAGGTATAAAGTCCGGAAGGCAGGTTTTGTCCTGCTACTGAGAAGTACACGTCTCTGTGTTTCAGGCATTGAGAACCTTCCGTGTGAGCTTCAGAGGAACTTCCAGCTCATGCGAGAGCTGGACCAGAGGACAGAAGGTGGGTTGGGCTCTGACAGCTGGGGAGAGGTGGCCCTGTCTTACAGACAACGCTGACACTTTAAAATTCGACCTAGTTTTTTGGGTCCTAGCACATCTTCCTGTAGCATCTTTACAGCCACCATCCATCCCTCATTACCTTTCCTTTCCTTTAAAAGGTTTTCTGGTTTCAAACTGTACACGTGGTTTAAACAGATCGCACTTGGCGGTCTTTTGGTATCTAGCTCCCTGTTTCTTTTTCCTTTTTTTTTTTTTTTTTAAGATTTTATTTATTTATTTGACAGAGCGAGAGAGCAGGAACACAGGCAGGGGGAGTGGGAGAGGGAGGAGCAGGCTTCCCGCGGAGCAGGGCGCCCGATGCGGGGCTCGATCCCAGGACCCCGGGACCATGACCTGAGCCGAAGGCAGACGCTCAACGACTGAGCCACGCAGGCGCCCATACTCCCTGTTTCTAAACATTATGTTTTTTGCTGCTGTTCATTACTTTATTTCCCTTTTGCTTTGGGCTTTATTCTGTTACTGTGGAGTATGAAGGTTTGCATCCCCCTCCCCCCGCCGTCTCCTGGTGTTGTGTCTTAGAATCTGAGCCTGCCATAGACCAGGGGTGGCGTTTCCTTTAGGACGCCTGTGGAGGTGGTTTGCAGCTGGGCCACATCACACGCTATGCTTACGAGACCTTTTTTGAATAACTGTTTTTCTTAGAGCTCGTAATTGCCTTGTTTTCCATGTTCCATACACATTGCACGTTTTCATTGTGTCTGCTGCCCCAGGGGATCTGCCAGCCCCCAGTCTGCCCTGCACACCCTGCACACTCAGACCTTTCCCCTGGAGCCTCCTGCCCTGTGGGTCTCGTCTGGGCTGGCTGTTTCCAGGCCTGTGGCACAGGCACTGTCTCTGCTCATCTTTGGTGCAGGACCCTGATTCCTGTGTTGTAAACATCCTTTCTCTTGGTCCCTTGTTTTAGTGGAGCCTTTCCTCCGGTAGTTTCCTGAAAAACAGTACATGGGAAGGTAGATTTCTTATAATGCCATATGTCTGGAAACGTGCTTGTTCTGGTCTCATAGTTGGTGAACATTTTGGCTGGGTATAGAATTCCAGCTTGACAGTCATTTTCCCTCAGCGTGTGGAAGGCACTGCTGCTTTGTCTCCCGGCGTCCCTGTGGCCCTTGAGAGATCTGATGCTGTGTGGATTCCTCATCCTTTATACCTGTGGTCTTCTCGCCATTCCTCCTAGGCAGCCTCTGGGCTGCTGTCTTTGTCCCTATTTTGTGGCGATGTGCTTGGGTGTGGGTGATTTTTCATTCATTGTGCCTGCCACAGGTTTTGTAAGGTCAGAATAGCTGTGGTTTTTCACTGAGCTACAGTCTCCTGGCTCGCAGATCGCAGATACAGAGAGTTCTGTTATTATGAAATACAACATTTACATTGGGGAATAAGCACAAGTGTTTGTAAATTGCCCAACAAACAGCACCTTGCAAACCTCTCCCTAGATGGAGAAGTGGGGCCTCGGGCGCCTGGGGCCCTGTGTAAGCCTGCTGTGCGTACTGCCCCTCCCTGCAAGGGGCTCCCACCCTCAGTTTCCCCGGCAACAAGTTTCTCACCTCCCTAAACCAAGAGTTCACAGTTGTATGTGTCTGTCCTTAATATCAGTGGAATCTCACAGTATGTTGTCCTTTGTGTCTCGCTTTTCTGGCTCACTGCCCCCTTCTGTGGGATTAACCCACATTGCTGTGTGTAATAGTTGTTGTGCTGTTTTGGTTGCTGTGTGAATGGACCACAGCTTATTGGTCTGTTTTACTGTGGATTGCACATTTGGCTCGTTTCCTGCTGTCTGCATTTATGAACGTTGTCCCGTATGTATCCTAAATCTAGGGTGTGTGTACTGAGGACTAGTATGCCAGCTGTAGCTAAGGTGAGCACATAACCTGCGATTCCAGCAGGGACCGCGGGGAGTCAGAAAGGTCGGCGTGCGTACTTCCTGGGAGGGCACTGAAACACTGACGTCTTGGGTGTGCTGTCCCCACTGTGGTGTCCCCACGGCCTCTGGTGCTGGACTGTCTGCCAAAGGCCGTGCCCACCGCGCTCCCACCAGCGGTGCCTCTGTGTTGAGTCAGCCACCTTTTTGCTGCAACTTGGCTTTGTTTTTTGTTTTGTTATTTTTTAAGATTTTTTTATTTGACAGAGACACAGCGAGAGAGGGAGCACAAGCAGGGGGAGTGGGAGAGGGAGAAGCAGGCTTCCCGCGGAGCAGGGAGCCCGATGCGGGGCTCGATCCCAGGACCCTGGGATCATGGCCTGAGCCGAAGGCAGACACCCAACGACTGAGCCACCCGGGCGCCCTGCAACTCGGCATTGTTCAGCTTTACTTGTTACCTTGGAATCTCTTGCAGGGACTAGCTTTTCCCCCATTTCTCTGTCAGATAAGAAGGCAGAGATCGACATCCTGGCTGCAGAGTATATATCCACAGTGAAGACACTTTCTCCAGACCAGCGTGTGGAGCACCTGCAGAAGATCCAGAGTGCCTACAGCAAGTGTAAGGAGTACAGTGATGATAAGGTGCAGCTGGCCATGCAGACCTATGAGATGGTGAGGAGGTGGGGGGCTGGGGGCCCCGGGGGGGCAGCTGGGGGCCCGGGTTCCTCCCTTTTACGCGGGCAGGGACCAGCTGTTGAGAAGTGGTGCATCTGAAGTGGGGTCAGATTTTGACAGAGAGATGCTTCTAGACAAGGCATGCTTTGGGGTGTCCTTCCTCAGGGACCGTCCTGCAGTCTGGTTTCCATGCCCTTTGTGCTCGTATATTTGGATACTTTATTTTCTCTTAGTTTTTGTATTTATTTCCTTAATGCTTATTTTGTCAGCTCTAGGTAAAGTCCTAGAATTTGTTGTGTCCAGTTTTCTCTCAAGTAGGCCTTGTATGGGGCTCACGTGGTAGCACAGAGCCATTGTCCCGTGATGCACATCAGGTTGTGTAGTGACGGAAGCTCTGTCATCCTCACACACTGTCACCTAACTCCGTTCCCTGCCGCCCCCAATAAAAAACAATTTTTTAAAAACCTGAATTAAGCTGTATTCGAGAAAGAATACTCTAGAAGGAGAACGTAATGCTTATATTTGGGGTTTTGACGCCCTAAAGTGCTGAGTCTTTTTTTTTTTTTTTAAAATTTATTTTTTTTTGGGGGAGAGAGAGAGAGAGAAAGCTCCAGAGAGCGTGCATGTATATGGGGGATGGGGGTGGGGGGGAGGGACAGAGGGGAGGGAAAATCTCAAGCAGACCCCTTTCTGAGCCTGACACGGGGCTTGATCTTAAGACCCTGAGATCATGACCTGAGGCAAAATCAGGAGTTGGATGCTTAACCCATGTGCCCCTCCAAAGTGCTGAATCTTTACAGTAAGCAGCCTGCTTTTTAAAAGTTAGGTTTGATCAGTTGTCAAAGTCAGATTTTCTCTGATGCATAACAGAGTTTGGGATTATAGTTTGTTTCCAGAGACGGATGGATAGAGAAGTCCTCCTTTTGGACAGTGACACATGGTGTGGGTTAACGGGTTGACTGTTGTGAGCCCGCTGGGTGAGGGGCCCAGAGTGCCGTCCCTTTGGGGCCTTCTCCGTCGGGGCAGGGTGGTCACTGTCTCATCCTCATGCTTTGACCCCACTGCCTTCTCTTCTTTCTTCCATCTTGTCCTGACTACAGCGTTAGAGGCCCTTTCTCTGAGAACGTGTACGTTCTTCAGATTTTTAAACCAGGGTTAAATTAGGCTTCAGTATCATATGTCCTCATATCCCCATTCCATTGCGTTTCACAGCCCTGTTTCCCCTTATTGCCGGCCGTCGTGGTTTTCCTGAGTAGGCTTTCTTCTGTTAAGGTTTCAAAATGTGGGGACAAAGACCCTTCATAAACTGAGATAGTAGACCTTGTTTTAGGAGCTTTCTTAATTGAAAACTCAATTAAAGGGCAAGAAAATACTTCCCGGTTGATTTCCAGTGTGTTTGTGATTCCTGAGCTGTGTTGCTTTCATTGTTAAATAAGACTCGTGAGCATCCTTCTCTGCAGGTGGATAAACACATTCGAAGGCTTGATGCGGACCTGGCGCGCTTTGAAGCAGATCTGAAGGACAGGATGGAGGGCAGTGACTTTGAGAGCTCTGGAGCACGAGGGTTAAAAAGCAAGTCTGTTAATTTTTCTTTATTTTGTTACTGTTACCTATGGAGTTTTGAAGAATTTTGGTGATAAATATGTGAGGAACATTATGGTAAATATATTTGAGTAACTCGTGTCCTGCTTCAGTGAATTCTGTGAAGATAATTGGGGTGTTTATTGTCTTTCAGAAGGTCGAGGTCAGAAAGAAAAAAGAGGCTCCCGGGGTCGTGGCAGGAGGACCTCAGAGGAAGATACTCCAAAGAAAAAGAAGCACAAAGGAGGGTGAGAGGCTCTTTTCCTTGTCTCTTTCTCCCCAAAGGTTACTTGGCATCAGTATTTCCTTAGCATCTAGAAACACCAATGGCAGCTAACAGCGAGGAAGTGCTTCCTGCGTGCCCGCGGTGGGTGTAGTTCTGCATGCTTTCCGCGTGCAGGCTCCGGCTCTGCTGTGCTCGGCAGCCCGACGGGGTTCCCAGGGGGCGAGACCGGCCCTAGGTTTTACAGCTCCTGTGTGGGAGAGCTGGGTGTGCACGGGGTGGTCTGACTCCACAACCCATGCTCTTGGCCGCTGTGTGTCCTGCCTCTTGAATGACACTATATTTATTGGCAGTTCAGGCTAAGCCACGCTTTAACAGCTCAATATATAGCCGTTCATTGTTTTATGTATAAATATATATTTTGGATATATTTGTTATTAAGTTGCATGACTGCATTTATTAAATATATGTGTTATTTACCTTGAACTTCAGAATATTTCATTTAAAGCTTTCTCCCACCTGCTTCCCTCATCCCCCAAGCTACTGTGTTGCTCCACAGAAGTGATTTTTAGAGTACAGAGAAAACAGTAAAGTGCCCAATGGCTTCCGTGGACATGGTTTTGACAGTTAGGGGGAGATCTCAGAGAGTCAGTTCTTGACCAAAAAAAGGGAGAAGTTTTGGTTCTTAAACCTGGTGTTTAAACTTTTAAGAAAAACGCCAAATGCCATCTTGCAGTGTGCACATGCAGAATAAACATGTAGTTTAATGAATTACTCTCAGGCACATCCTTGCCTGTCACTTACTGCTATCAGTAACACTTTCTTGTACCTGTCAAAACCATAACCGCCTTCCTTTGCCCAGGTAAACAAGACCCAGACTTATGTGGTGTTTATTTCCCTTCTTTGTAGTGTTATCCCCAACATGTGCATTCCTGGACACTGTAGTTTAATCTTGCTAATTTTTTTCTTAACCCTCAAAGTTAATTTTATTAAGGAATAATTTACATACAATAAAATGTTCTTATTTTAAGTTTACTGTTGCATGCTGTATTCAGTTTCTTTAAAGTTATGGAACTATTCAGCTTTCCGTTTCTTCTTGAGTCAGTTTTGGTCATCTGTGTCTTTCAAGGAATTGGTTGTTTCATGTAAGTCGTCAGATTTATTCACATCAAATTGCTCATAATACATGATCATCTTTCTGTTGTAGGATCTGTACTGATGATTCCTCTTTTAGATCCAATGTTGATAATTTACGTCTTCTCTCATCTTGTCTTGATCTTTACAGAGAATTAGATTTTGGTTTTGTTGGTTTTTATATTTTCTCTATTGTTTGTTTTCTATTTCATTGATTTCTGCTCTCATATTTTTTTAGAGGGGGGAAGGGCAGAGGAAGAGGGAGAGAGAGAATTTTAGACTCCAGCACAGAGCCCTACACAGGGCTCAGTCTCATGACCCTGAGATCATGACCTGAGCCCAAATCAGGAGTCAGATGCTTAACCTAATGAGCCACCCAGGCGCCCCTATTTCTGCTCATAGTTTTATTTTTTCCTTTCCAGTACTTGGATTTACTTTGCTTTTCTTTTTCTGGTTTTTTAAGGTGAAAGTAGTTTAGATCAGTGATTTTCATACTTCTTTTCTCATATAAGTATTTAAAGCTATAAATTTTTTTCTAATTACTGTTAAATCTAATTACTGTTTTAACACATCCCACAAATTTGGATATGTTGTGTTATTTTTATTCCATTCAAAATATTTTAAAATTTCCTTTGTGATTTTTCTTTGACTCATGGCTTATGTAGAAGTATGTTCTCAGCTTCCAAATAATTTGGGATTTTTCCAGGTAACTTTCTGATTTCAATTTTTAAGTTAATTTTGCTATGATCAGAGAATATCATATAATAGAAATTCTCTGAAATCGATTAAGACTTGTTATGGTTTGTGGTCCTGTTTTGCTGTATGTTCCATATACCCTTAAAGAATGTCATGTTTTGCTGTTTTTGGTGGAGTGTTCTGTAGATCTCAATCAGATAGCTTGGTTGATAGTGTTGTTGGTCTTCTGTATCCTTACTGATCCTCTGATTATTCGATTGATAATACTAAGGAAAGAGTGTTGAAATCTTCAACTCTAGCTATGGATTTGTCTATTTTTCCTTTCTGTCTGTCAGTTTTTGCTTCACATATTTTAAAGCTCTGTTATTTGTTGGTACATACGAATTTAGATTTTTCTAAAAATAGTTGACTCCTTCATCGTTATGAAATGTCTCCCTTTTTTTATTTCTTGTAATATTCTTTGTTTTGAAGTCTGCTTGGTCTGATACTATGGTAGTCACGATGAGTTTTTGCATGGTGGATCTTTTTCCTTCTTCATTCTTTTACTTTCAGCATATTTTTGTGTTTGTATTTAGAGTGGGTTTCTTGAAGTCAGCAAAGCTGACTCTTGCTTTTTTTATCTAGTCTGACAATCTCTGCTTTTTACTGCAATATTTAGAGTACTCAGATTTAATGTAATTACTGATATGATTGGATTTAAATTTACCCTCTTGCTGTTTGTTGTCTGTGCCATCTCTTATTTTAGTGTCTTCTTAGTTTTTTTAGGGTTTTTTTGTTTTTTGTTTTTGTATTTAAGGACTGTTCTCGTGTGTCCGCACTGTTCGTTAACTTGCCACAAGGCACTGCCAGTAGTGTTACAGTGTCCAGGTTTAATGTGAGACCCGACACAAGTATTCTTTCCTCCTGTCCTTTGTGCTGTTGTCAAAAGTTTTACTTCTCTGCATGATATAAGCCTCACAACGTATTTTGCTGTTACTACTTTAGGTCTAAACCATTGATTATATTAAACAGATTTTCAGACATGAGAAGACGTTTTATTGTCACTCCATGTACACATCATTTCCACTGCTTTTATTTCCTTATGTAGATGCAGATTTCCATCTAGTGTCACCTCTCCTGCCTGAAGAACTTCCTTTAACGTTGTTTTATAGTGCAGGGCTGCTGCTGATGAATTTTCTCAATTCCTTTTCTCTGAAAATGTCTCTTTTATCTCCTTTTTTGAAGGATATTTTTGATGGATATAGAACTTTAGGGTGACTTTTTTCTTCTCGTGCTAAGGATGTCGTCCTGTTGTCTTCCATCTTGAACTGATTCTGATGAGAAATTAGTGATAAATCTTATCTTTGATTTTTTATATGTAAGTGACTTTATTTATTTTTACTGCTTCTAAGATTTCCATTCAGCAATTTGATTTTTAATAACTTAATTATGATCTGTCCTGGTGTGGATTTTTGGTGTGTATTCTGCTTGGAGCTCATTGAGCTTCTTGGAACTGTTTCTTTATAGTTTATATCAAATTTGGAAAATTTTCAGACATTCATTCTTCAAATACATTTTTCTGCTCTCCTTTTGTCTTTTTATGGGACTGCAATTACATGTATGTTAGCTTAATATTTTCCCACAGTTCACTGAGGCTCTGCTCATTTTTTTGACCAGTGTTTTTCTTTCTATGTTTCTATTTGGATAGTTTCTATTACTTTATCTTCAAGTCTTTTCTTCCTTGGTGTCTAATTTAATCTTAGTTTCCTTTAGTGAATCTTCCACTTAAGAGATTTCCCTTGTAAAGAAGTTCTGTTTATATTTTATACTTTTTCTTTTCCTTACTACATTTATACTTTTCTTTGTCTTTGAACATAAATATTTATAATAGCTTTTTGAAAGATCTTTTCTGAATCTATTTGTTACTTCCAAGTATATTTCTTTCTTTCTTATTTATTTATTTGATAGAGAGAGACAGCGAGAGAGGGAACACAAGCAGGGGGAGTGGGAGAGGGAGAAGCAGGCTTCTCGCCGAGCAGAGAGCCCGATGTGGGGCTCCATCCCAGGACCCTGGGACCAAGACCTGAGACGAAGGCAGATGCTTAACGACTGAGCCACCCAGGCGCCCCTATTTCTTTCTTTTTTAAAAACCAATTTTTAAAGGTATGATTGATTTACAAAAAGTTTTATATATTTAACATACACAGTTTGAATAGTTTGGCAGGTCTGTTTCTTCTCATGGTTAAAGTCACATTTTTCTGTTTCTTCACAAGTCTAGTAATTTTTTATGGGATGTTTGACAGTATGAATGTTATGTTGTTGAGTGTCTGGATTTTGTTGTCTTCACTTAATGGGTGTTGAATTTTTGTTTTTTTAATTTTCTAATTTTTGTTCAGTGGTTTTAATCACCTGTGGATCAACTTGATCCCCTGCAGGCTCGTTTTTTTTTAAGATTTTTTTATTTATTTGAGAGAGCATGAGCAGGGGTGAGGAGAAGAGGGAGAGGGAGAAGCAGGGTCCCTGCGGAGCAGGGAGCCTGATGCGGGGCTTGATCCCAGGACCCTGGGATCATGACCTGAGCCGAAGGCAGATGCTTCACCGACTGAGCCACCCAGGTGTCCTTGCAGGCTCATTTTTAACCTTTGTAAAAAAAAAACTTCTTTCTTAAAGGGCCAAATAGTAAATATTTTAGGCTTGCAGGGCATATTGTCTTTGTTGTGACCACTCAAATCTTCTGTTTTATATCAAAAGCATCCACAAAAAAATATGCAGCTCTGTGATGTGGCTGTGTTTCAATAAAACTTTATTTACAGAAACAGCCAGCCGACTGCAGGCCATATTTTGCCAACCCGTAGGTTCGGGTAGCCTTTATTCTAGGGTTGGTTAAGTTGTACTGCTAAGGTGTGACCCTTCTGGGTTCTCTTCTGAATGCCTTTTGAATTTAATGAGGCCTCTCCGTGCTGGCTGGGTGGAGCTGAGATGTCTTGAGCCTCGGTGGCCGCTGTTGCACTCAACGGCTCCCCTGTGTTCTCTGCCTGGACTCAGGGGTTCTCACCCTGTACACAGGTTAGTTTTCTGTGACTCCCTTTGCAGATTTCTGGAGCATGTTCTCTTTACCCTCTCTTCCTTCCCAGCACCTTGCCGCCAGCTCCGGCAGCCTTATCCTCCTGGAACTTTGGTTTTTTTCCTCAGTTCTAGACACCCGTGCTGCGTGTGGTTTTCCTGCTGGTGGACTGGGGCATGGGAAGGGCTTCCAGCAGGAAGCTGAGAGATCGCAGGGCTCGCCGTGTTTGTTTACCTTCTCTTAGGGTTGCGGTCCTGAGCTGCCTCTTGTCAGCGTCTGGAAACCGCTGTGTCACATGCTCCGTCCCGTTTTCTAGCTGTTCACAGTAGGAGGGCAAGTTCGGTGCCTGTTGTTATGTCCTGGTCAGAAGTGGAAGCTTTTTTCTTTTCTTGCGTAGATAAGCCCTGTAAGTCTCTTTGATGTGTGAGTTTTTCTCCATCCCTTTCTCTTCTCCACAATTTTCCTTTTGAAGAACCTGGACTGTTTGACTCCCAGCATTTCCCAAAGTCTTGATTTTGCTGACAAGACATGAAACCTGGAGAGTATATCTTCACTAAACATTTAGATAGTGCTTGTCCTCATGTGCTCAGTGGATTTGTTTGATATTTGACTGGGGATGCCTAGTTTTGTGTGTGCACTTGCTTGAGCTGGTGCTCTGTGGGTCTGGAGGGGTTGACGGGCCCACGCCATGGTAGCCTCTCTGGTTGCAGTCTGGCCGTGTCAGTTACAGAGGGCGGAGACCACCAATGTGGTCTTTCATACATTGTTGTTTTCTGTTCTAGGACATCCACTGGATTCCTTTTTTTGTAGATTTGAGTTCCTTTCTGAAAAGTGTCCATGTTTGCATTTGTCTTACTCATATTTTCTTTCCGGTAGCCGTTTCAAGCCCTTGTCTGCTGGTTTTCACTTCGGGTCATTGGTGCCTCTGCTTCTGTTAGCTGGCCTCTCCTGGGGTTCTGGCCATGTTCTCCTGCTCTTCTTCACACCCTGTAGTTCTTAGTGTCGGCCTGACTTCAGGTGGGAGAGAGTGCACAGGGTGAGGGTTCCACTATTCTCCAGGAGTTTCTTTTGCTT